AAAAATACAAAAATTAGCTGGGCATGGTGGCACGTGCCTGTAATCCCAGCTACTCAGGAGGCTGAGGCAGGAGAATTGCTTGAACCCAGGAGGTGGAGGTTGCAGTGAGCCGAGATCGCGCCATTGCACTCCAGCCTGGGTAACAAGAACGAAACTCTGTCTCAAAAAAAAAAAAAAAAAAAAAAACCCTATCTCTACTAAAAATACAAAAGTAGCTGGGTGTGGTGGTGCATGGCTGTAATCCCAGCTGTTTGGGAGGCTGAGGCAGGAGAATCGCTTGAACCCAGGAGGTGAATGAGATTGAGTCATTTTACTCGCCTGGGCAACAAAAGCAAAACTCCGTCTAAAAAAAAAATTAAAAAAGAATAACAAAAAATCCAACAAGATGTAAAGATTGAAAGGGAATATGTAAAACTGTTTTGTTTACAGTGGACATAATTATCTTTGTAGAAAACCTAGTAGAATCAGTAGAAAACCTAGCAGAATCAATGAAAAACCAAGAAGAGTTCATTAAGATTGCTGGATAGAAAATAAATTATATTCCCCCACTAAGAAAATATTTGCAATGTTTAAAGTGGATATGGGTTCCAGACACAGTGGCTCACACCTGTAATCCCAGTACTTTGGGAGGCCAAGGTGGGGGGCATCACCTGAGGTCAAGAGTTGAAGATCAGCTTGGCCAACATGGTGAAACTGTATTGAAAATACAAAACTTAGCTGGACCTGGTGGTGCACACCTGTAGACCCAGCGACTTGGGAGGCTGAGGCAGAATTGCTTGAACTTGCAATAAGCCAAGATCGAGCCACTGCACTTCAGCCTAGGCGACAGAGCAAGACTCTATCACAAAATAATAAATAAATAAAGTGCATACGGGGCTGGATGCAGTGGCTCACTCCTGTAATACCAGCAGTTTGGGAGGCCGAGGCAGGTGGATGACCTGAGGTCAGGAGTTCTAAACCCACCTAGCCAACATGGTGAAACCCCGTCTCTACTAAAAAATACAAAAATTAGCCAGGCATGGCCAGGTGCAATAGCTCACACTTGTAAGCCCGGCACTTTGGGAGGCTGAGGTGGGCAATCATCTGAGGTCAGGAATTTGAGACTAGCCTGGCCAACATGGTGAAACACTGTCTCTACTAAAAATACAAAAATGAGCCAGGCATGATGGCGGGCGCCTGTAATCCCAGCTACTTGAAAGGCTGAGGCTGAAGAATTCCTGAACCCAGGAAGCAGAGGTTTCAGTGGGCCAAGATCGAGCCACTGTACTCCATCTTGGGTGACAGAGCGAGACTCTTTCTCAAAAAAAAAAAAAAAAAAAAAAAAAGGTGGCTCACGCCTGTAATCCCAGCACTTTGGGAGGCTTAAGGCAGGTGGATCACGAGGTCAGGAGATCCAGACCATCCTGGACAACATGGTGAAACCCTGTCTCTACTAAAAATACAAAAATTAGCTGGGTGTGGTGGCAGGTGCCTGTAATCCCAGCTACTTGGGAGGCTGAGGCAGGAGAATCACTTGAACCTGGGAGGTGTGAGGTTTCAGTGAGCCAAGATCCAGCCTCTGTATTCCAGTAAGGGCAACAGAGCAAGACTCCATCTCAAAAAGTAATAATAATAAAATAAGCCGGGCATGGTGGCTCACACCTGTAATCCTAGCACTTTGGGAGGCTTAGGTGGGTGGATCACCTGAGGTCAGGAGTTCAAGACCAGCCTGCCATCATGGTGAAACCCCATCTTTAAAAATAATAAAAAATAAATAAATAAAATAAAATAAAACAATTTTTTAAATGTGAGTGTGGGATTAATATGCATAATATACTGTTCCTTATGAAGGAACAAAAGTAAAGACAGGAATACAAAGTTTAAAAATGCACAAAAGGCCGGGAGCGGTGGCTCACGCCTGTAATACCAGCACTTTGGGAGCCCAAGGTGGGCAGATCAGGAGGTCAAGAGTCTTAGACCCCCTGGCCAATATGGTAAAACCCTGTCTCTACTAAAAATACAAAAGTTAGCTGCATGTGGTGGTGGGTGCTTGTAATCCCAGACACTTGGGAGGCTGAGGCAGGAGAATTGTTTGAACCCAAGAGGCAGAGGTTGCAGTGAGTGGAGATCACACCATTGCTCTCCAGCCTGGGCAAGAGAGCAAGACTCAGTCTCAAAAAAAAAAAAAAAAGTGGCAGGGCGCGGTGGCTCACACCTATAATCCCAGCACTTTGGGAGGCCGAGGCAGGTGGATCACGAGGTCAAGAGATCGAGACCATCCTGGTCAACAAGGTGAAATCCCGTCTCTACTAAAAATACAAAAAAATCAGCTGGGCATGGTGGTGCGCGCCTGTAGTCCCAGTTACTCAGGAGGCCGAGGCAGAAGAATTGCTTGAACCCAGGAGGCAGAGGTTGCGGTGAGCCGAGATTGCGTCATTGCACTCCAGCCTGGGTAACAAGAGCGAAACTCCATCTCAAAAAAAAAAAGGATATGAATAGGCATTTCAGAGAGGGTGAAGTTCTGTTGGCTAATAAGAACATGAAATAACTTTCAAACTCACTAGTAGAGAAATGCAATTTAAAATAACAGAGTACACTTAATATACCCATTAGAATTGTAAATATTAGAGAGTTGTATAATATTAACTGTTGGAAAGGGTATGAGGTAATAAGAACTTTCAATAATAGGCCAGGCGTGGTGGCTCACACCTGTAATCCAAGCACTTTGGAGGCCAAGGCGGGCGGATCACCTGAGGTCCGGAGTTCAAGACCAGCCTGACCAACATGGTGAAACCCTGTCTTTAAAAAAAAGAATTTTCAATAATAATGCTGAGACTGTAAACAGCTACAGACCTGGGTTTTCTTGTTCAGTTTTAGTTTTCGGGCTTTTTTGTTAGTGTCTATGTTATCAAGGCTGGACTCAAACTCCTGGGCCCAGGCAATCCTCCCACCTGAGCCTTCTGAGAAGCTGAGACTACAAGTGTGTGCCATGCCCAGTTTACAGCTACAGACTTTCTGAAAAATAATCTGGTGCTACTTAGTAAAATTGAGTATGCATATACTTATCACAGAAATTCCATTAAGAGGAATATGTTCCAGAGAAATTCTTGAACTGCCTGACAGGGGACTATGTAAGAGATAACTGCCTAGCCTTGTGTGTAGAAGTCAGGAATGGGTAAGTATAATGGATGCCTACCATGGAATGCTATGCTATGTAGCAGCTATAAGCAATGAATTAGATTATATGTAGCAATAAGGATGAATCCTGAAAACTGAGTTGATGAAGAAAAGTAAACTAAACCCATCGGCCACAGTGGCTCACGCCTGTAATCCCAGCACTTTGAGAGGCCAAGACCGGCAGATTACCTGAGGTCGGGAGTTCAAGACCAGCCTGACCAACATGGAGAAACCCTGTCGCTACTAAAAAAAAATACAAAATTAGCCAGGTGTGGTAATCTCAGCTATTTATAGAGACAGGCTCTCACTACATTGTCTAGGCTGGTCTGGAACTCCTGGCCTCAAGCGATCTTCCCAACTGGGGCATCCAAAGTGCTGTGAAGGACCCCTGTAACCCTAAGCTGGACAATGTAGCTAGATCCTGTCTCTAAAAAAAAAAAATACAAAAACTAGATGGTGGCAGGTGCCTGTAGTCCCAGCTACTTGAGAGGATGGGATGGGAGGTTCCTTGAGTCAGGGGGCTGAGGCTGCAGTGAGCTGAGATCGCACCACTGCACTCCAACCTGGGTGACACTGAGACCCTGTCTCAAAAATGAATAAATAGTAAAATTAGTAAGAGTGAATGAGATCTGGGATATGTAAAGGGATGGGGAGGAGTTAAGGAGTAACTCCTAGGTTTCTGGCTTGTGTAAAGAACCCCTGTGAATGAGGGGGAAATTTTACCAGCGTTCTGTAAACTTGAAAGTGTTTTTCTCCAGGCACCGTGGCTCACGCCTGTAATCCTAGCACTTTGGGAGCCTGAGGTGGGCGGATCACCTGAGGTCAGGAGTTCAAGACCAGCCTAACCAATATGGTGAAACCCGGTCTTTAAAAAAAAAAACAAAGTGTTTTTCATTTCCTGTCCCCCCCATTAGGGGTTGCTCCTTTCATCTTAAGGAGGATATTCTAGGATCTCTCAGCCTCCCAGCCCTGCCCACCAATAATCATCAGGTGAGCCCTCTCTCCCAAGACCTCTAGATCGGCAAAAGGCAACCTGGAGGCAAGGAAACCCCCAGCTGTGAGTAGCCATTCAATTCTGGTGCTGTGGTAACTGAGTTTAAAAACAATTAGTTTTGTTTCCTCTCCGTGAAATGAAGAAAACCTCACCAGACACCTCACTGGGTTCTGAGGCTCCAAGGAGCACATGTTGTTAGGCTCAGTTGGATTCCCTCCAGCCTTCTCTGCCCATTTGAAGGCAGTTCCTTGTCCTGGAGACAACGTGAAGATGTTCTCTTTGTTTGTTTATTTGTTTATTTTAAAGACAGGGTCTCTCTCTCTCTTTCTGTTGACCAGGCTGGAGCGCAGTGGCGCGACCACAGCTCACTGCAGCCTCAACTTCCTGGGCTCAAAACAATCCTCCTGCCTCAACGTCCAGAGCAGCTGGAACTACAAGCGCACACTACTGCACTGGGACTGTTATTACTTTGTTATTATATTTATTATTATTATAGAGACACGGGTGGGGGTGGTCTCACTATGTTGCCCAGGCTGGTCTCGAACTTATAGCTCAAGAGATCCTCCCGCCTTGGCGTCCCAAAGTGCTGGGATTACAGGACCAACGCGCGCGGACGCAGAGGTTTTCTATGAGCCTCTGGAATGGCGTTCCCAAAGCTTGGCGCCATGCCTTGGTCAAACCGGGTCGGGGGCTCGGGCCAGCCTGCAGCACCGTTAGCTGCAATCAGAACGATCAACTGTTCCCCTAATGCTGCGATGGCCCTTTGCTGCCAATAGTCGGCCCCTCGCCGGTCCCGAAGCATCGCGAGAACACAACCGCTCCGGCGGACTACTCTACTCAGAGGGCTACGCCTTTCCCGGCCTCAGAACAGCCCCATCCTTCCTCTTTCCCCGCCTTCCAGCCGCGCTCCGCTTTCGGATTGGCTGATTGAGCCGAGGCAGTTTTTTTTCCTGGCCAGAAAGTGGTTCGACAACTGGTCCTTCTTTTGGCCCCTCCTGCGAAGCCCGCGGATTGGACGGCTGATTCCGGCTACACGCGCCTCCGAGGGAGCGCGGCCGGGCCAATCAGGAGCTTGGCGTATTTTACAAACTGGGGAAGTAGCTGTAGCCTGCAGTAGCTGAAAGTCGAGGGAAAAGCTGAGAAGGCTGAGTCGGCTCTGAGGGGCTCTCGAGAAGGTGAGGCACAGGGTTCTTTGAGAGAACGAGGGCTGCTGGGCTCAGAGGGAGGAGGGCAGTTCGGGACCCGAGGGCGAAACAGTAGGCTCGGGGTGTCTGGAGGTAGCGCCCATTAGAGCGGTCTTGCAAGGGCCGGAGGCTTGTGGGAGCGGGGATTAGGGCAGAGGTATCAGGGATGGCAGGACAGGTGCCCCGAGGACTGGTTGATCTTTGATCTCCGATTCTGCCTGCCTTCTTCCCTGTCTCAATTGTAGCCATCATGACCACCCTGCAAGCCACGAAGGATCCCCTCCTCCGGGGTGTATCTCCTACCCCTAGCAAGATTCCGGTACTCTCTCAGAGACGCACGCCTTTACCCACTGTTACATCGCGCGTCTTGGACCAGGAGAACCAAGATCCAAGGGTAAGAGGGGCCTAGTAGGGGAAGACGATAGTCACACCAGTAATGTGCCCTAATTCTAAACCCCACCTTTTTGTCCCCCCTCCCTTCCCTAGAGATGGGTGCAGAAACAACCGCTCAATATTCAACACCCCCACGTTGATTCAGCAGGCTCCAGGCCGAAAGCCAAGCACCAAGCAGAGACATCACGAAGATTGGTGGGGACCACTCAGCATCGAAACCCCTTGGAGGAGCTCAGGCCTAGTCCCGGGGGTCAAAATGTGGGGCCTGGGCCCCCTGCCCAGACAGGTACCTGTTGGAGCCCTGGGACCACAGCCTCCATGGCTGAGTAGGGAACTAGGAAGAGTAAAAGTGGGGTTTTGGGATTTTGCACTCACTCCTGCTTACTGTAATAGTCCTGGTCCCAGTTCCTGGAAAGCTCTTTGCTCTTATAAGGCCTCGCTTTCCTCCAGCAAAATGTCATCTTGCCAGGTGTGATGGCTTGTGGCTGTAATCACAGCTACTCAGGAGGCTGAAGCTGATGGATCACTGGAGGCCAGGAGTGAGACCAGCCTGGGAGACAGAGGGAGATCCCATCTCTTAAAAAAAAAGAGTCAGCCGGGCGCGGGGGCTCAAGCCTGTAATCCTAGCACTTTGGGAGGCCGAGGCGGGTGGATCACTAGGTCAAGAGATCAAGACCATCCTGGTCAACATGGTGAAACCCCGTCTCTACCAAAAATACAAAAAATTAGCTGGGCATAGTGGCACATGCCTGTAATCCCAGCTACTCAGGAGGCTGAGGCAGGAGAATTGCCTGAACCCAGGAGGCAGAGGTTGCAGTGAGCCGAGATAGCGCCATTGCACTCCAGCCTGGGTAAGGAGCGAAACTCCGTATCAAAAAAAAAAGTCATTTCTTCTGAAGAGTTTTCCAGTTCCCCACATCATAATCAGTTGCTCTGTGTTCTCTTAATACTTTGCAGTACTTCTTTTATAACATGTATATACCTTGGCTTGAGTGTTATCAGTCTATAGTTTGATGATAGCTTCTTGAGGATAGGGGCTTTGTCTTATTCTTTTGGGGCCCCAGTGCTTAGAATAATGTCTTATGTAACATTTTACAAACATTTGGTGGCGAGGTGTGGTAGCTCACGCTGTAATTCCAACACTTTGAGAGGTCGAGGCAGTAAGATCACTTGAGCTCAGGAGTTTGAGTCCAACCTGGGCAACATAGTGAGACCCTAACTCTATTTTCTCTCTTCTCTTCTCGAGATAGTTTCACTCTATTCCTCAAGCTAGAGTGCCGTGGTGAAATCTGAGCTTACTGCAACCTCTGCCTTCCAGGTTTAAGCGATTCTCATGTCTCAGCCTCCCCTGAGTACCTGCCACCATGCCTGGCTAATTTTTGTTTTTTGTTGTTTTTTATTTTTCTGAGATGGAGTCTCACTGTCACCCAAGCTAGAGTGCATTGGCACTGTGTCAGCTCACTGCAAACACCGTCTCCTGGGTTCAATCAATTCTCCTGCCTCAGCCTCCAGAGTTGCTTGGATTACGGGTACCTACCACTCGCAGTTAATTTTTTTTTTTTTTTTTGAAATGGAGTCTCTCTCTGTTGACCAGGCTGGAGTGCAGTGGCGCAATCGCGACTCACTGCAACCTCTGCCTCCCGGGTTCAAGCAATTCTCTGCCTCAGCCTCCCAAGTAGCTGGGATTACAGATGCCCACCACTACACCCAACTAATTTTTGTATTTTCACCATCTTGGCCAGGCTGGTTTTGAACTCCTAACTTCGTGATCCACCCCCTCGGCCTCCCAAAGTGCTGGGGTTACAGGCGTGAGCTATTGCACCAGCCAATTTTTATATTTTTAGTAGAGACTGGGTTTTACCATGTTGGCCAGGCTGGTCTTGAACTTCTGAACTCAGGTAATCTTCCTGCTTTGGCCTCCCAAAATGCTGGGATTACAGGTGTGAGCCACTGCACCCAGCCATCTATTTCTAAAAAAAAAAAAATGCCAAAATCAAGGTGAGTTTGCTAGGGTCCCTCTGCCCTCCCCTTTCTGTTCTTTCTCACCTTTCCTTCTCCTCTTTCCTTGCAGAGGCTGCAGGGGCCATAGAGTTTGTGGCTGATCCTGCAGCCCTGGCCACCATCCTGTCAGGTGAGGGTGTGAAGAGCTGTCACCTGGGGCGCCAGCCTAGTCTGGCTAAGAGAGTACTGATTCGAGGAAATCAGGGAGGCACCACCCAGAGGGGCCAGGTAATGAAACACGATGTGAGGGGACCAGGCTGGGGGCTCTTAGGGGGGCATCCTGAGCTGTGCTCATGGTCCCTGTTGGCGTCCCAGGGTGTTCGGGCCTCTGCATATTTGGCCCCCAGAACGCCCACCCACCGACTGGACCCTGCCAGGGCTTCCTGCTTCTCAAGGCTGGAGGGACCAGGACCTCGAGGCCAGACTTTGTGCCCCCAGAGGCTACAGGCTCTGGTGAGTGCCCTTGAGGGATTGATACTTGGTGCTTCTGGGAGCTTCTTCCAGGGACAAAGCTGGGCTCTGGGAGAGGAGGTACCTCATGATGAGGCAGGGGATCCTATGCGGGGAGATGGGGTTGGTGGTGAGGCCTGAGGGTTTGGGGTCCACCTCTGATTCTGCTTTCGTCTCTTGCTCCTGTGGATCAGATTTCACCTTCAGGAACTTCCTTTCACCCTTCCACTCGTCCCAGTTTCCAGGAGCTAAGAAGGGAGACAGCTGGCAGCAGCCGGTGAGAAAGGAGAAGGTTTGGGAGAAGGTTATCTGGAAAAGAATGAACCAGTGTCTGATACAGGGGTCCCCCAGAGTTGGGGCCTTCTAGTAGCTTTAGGACTGCCCACCAACTCAGGAGGGGAAGCAAGGAACCTGTGACTGCCCGGGATGAGCTCTTGGAATAGGTTTCAGGCCTTCACAGCCAGGCCTCAGTGTGACATTAGTTTCCTCAAGTCATGGGGGGACAGGGAGGACAGAAATGTGCTATCTCTTTTGTTTAGTGGCTAGAGTATAGACTGTGGCAATAAATGGGATTTGGGCTTAAATCCTAACTCTTACCACTTTTACTTGTTGTGCAAGCTTGTCTTCACCTCTCTGAGCTTTGGTTTCTTTGTCAAGTGAGAATAACATTTGTACCATCATTAGAGGTTGTCATGAGAATGAAATGAGACGATGTTTGTAAAGCGCTTAGCACTTGCGCAGCTTATGCTGGCTACTGTCCTTATTGTCATCAGGACTTCCGTGAGCCAGGCCTCAGGATTGCTCCTGGAGACCCCAGTCCAGCCTGGTGAGTGTGTCTGGCTGTGGGGACAGCACAGTGGCAGGTGGGCTACCTGAAGCAGGGAACAAGACCAGAGAAAGCTCAGCAGGCTAGGAGGGGGCAGGAGGAAGTGGGAGGCGGCGAGACTAGGTCAGAAGGAGAAGAAGAGACTTTCTAGATGGGCCAGAAGTTGGCACAGTTGCACTTGTGTCAAAGGAGATGGTCTCCATTTCTGCCCTCTCTCTGCTACTTCCTTCAAGATTTATCTTCCACTCACTGTTTATCCCCAGTCCCTAAGTGCCATCACCACAATCCCAGCCTACACAGACATTCAGATTAATAAGTGTTTACTGAGATAGTGTTGGGTGTTGAGGGGCTGCTGGATGGGTTCCAGCCCCTAATAGTGCAATGGGGGCTATTAAACTAGTATACCCTCTTCAGAAGTTGCAGAACCCTGTGCCAAACTTTGGTGGGTGTTCTAGACTCTACAACAAATGTCCCGTTTCTTCCTAGCTTTCTCTCTCCCTAAAGGAGAACATGAGGTTGTCACTCGCTCAGATGAAGGAAGTGTGTCCTCCCTTGGTCTGGCCCAGAGGGTACCATTAAGAAAAAAACAAGAAATGACACATTGCAGGGTAATACGTGACTCTCCTGGGCTGAGGGATGGGAGGTGTGGGAAGTGCCTGGGAGAATTTCTCAGCAGCAGCCAACACCGAGGGTTGTATGTAGATCCAGGCAGTCTTGGGCCTTGGGATGCTCTTGGGTGGGTTTATCCCAGTCCCTCTCCAACGTGAGACTGACCTCTCTTTATCAGATGTCTGGGGTCTGAGGTGAAAGCTCACAGGCTGGTATGTATTTTTGTCACCATCATATCAGTGCTAAGGGTGAGACAGATCTGACACTTGTCAGCCATAAGCATTCATCCCTTCGCTCCACAAATATTTGCTGAGTAGTACCACCCTACTGAGTGCCAGGCACTGTTCAAGGCTCTAGACATACAGCAATAAAGAAATTCATATTCTAGAAGGGGGAGACAAGAAATAAACACATGTATAAAATAAATAGTATGTCGGTGATAAGTTCTCTCTTAATAGTAAAAAGGCAATAAAGGGGAATTGGGAGCAGGGGAGTTGGTATTGCAATTTAAAATAGATCGGTTGCCAGGTGCGATGGCTTATGCCTGTAATCCCAGCATCTTGGAAGGCTGAGATGGGCAGATCACGAGGTCAGGAGTTCAAGACCAGCCTGGCCAACATAGTGAAACCTCATCTCTACTAAAAATACAAAAATTAGCTGGGCATGGTGGCACGTGCCTGTAGTCCCAGCTACTTGGAAGCTGAGGCAGGAGAATCACTTGAACCTGGGAGGCAGAGGTCATAGTGAGTCAAGATCGTGCCACTGCACTTCAGCCTGGGCAACAGAGCGAGACTCCATCTCAAAAAAAAAATAGATTGGTCAGGGAACTGTTTTGTTTGTTTGTTTTTGTTTGTTTTTGAGACAGTTTCATTCTTGTTGCCCAGGCTGGAGTGCAATGGCGCGATCTCGGCTCACTGCAACCTCTGCCTTCTGGGTTCAAGCCATTCTCCTGCTTCAGCCTCCCAAGTAGCTGGGATTACAGGCACCTGCCACCATGCCCAGCTAATTTTTGTATTTTTAGTAGAGATGGGGTTTCACCATGTTGGCCAGGCTGGTCTTGAACTCCTGACCTCGTGATCCTCCCATCTCGGCCTCCCAAAGTACTGGGATTACAGGCGTGAGCTACCATGCCCGGCCAGGGTCAGAGAACTCTTATTGAGAAGGTGGTGTTTAAGTGAAGACGGGTTGGAGGAGTGAGACATGTTGATATCTGGGGGAACATTCCAGGCTAAGAGAACTAAAGAGGCAAAGGCCCTGGGGAGAGAATGTACCTGGTGTGTTTGAGGATCAGCAAAAAGAAGACAGTGAGATTGAAGCAGAGTAAGGAGAGCGGTAGGAGATAAGGTTTTAGTGACAACACGGTCAGATTGGATAAGGACTTGTACACCAGTGTAAGTCCTTGGCTTTTCTTGGAATGAGTGGAAAGCCATGGGGAGAGGGGATGATCAAGAAAGTGACACGATTTGACTTAGGTCTTAAAAGAAGCACACTGGCTGCTGTAGTGAAAACAAGATTTAGGAAGACAAAGGGGGCAGGGGTCACTCTTCCACCTTTTTCTTCTTCACAGGACAGCCTTGACTACCACCTGATGCCCTCCCCTGCCCATGTGGCCCAGCCCTTGCCTGGCCATACAGTGCCATGTCCATCACCCTTTGGACGGGCTCAGCGTGTACCTTCCCCAGGCCCTCCATCTCTGGTTTGTGTCAACAACTCAGGGCAGGCAGGGGCAGAACAGTCTGGCTGGAGATCCTTGCTAGGTCTGGGTTTTCCCTGCTCATCCACCCACATCTCTCCCCAGAACTCATATTCAGTGTTGCAGCATCTCACCCTTCAACCTAAAACCCGGTTCACACCTGTGCCATCAACCCCCAGAGTTCAGCAGGTAAGAGAGGGCATGGGAAAGTGGCTGGCATAAGCCACGGCTAGGGGAGAGAGGAGATGGATGGGTACAAGAGAGAGGAGACAGAAGCAAGAGGAGGTTGAGTGCCATTTGTGGATGTCCAGCCTTGCTGACATCTTACTTCTGTGTCAGGCCCAGTGGCTGAGTGGTGTCTCCCCTCAGTCCTGCTCTGAAGATCCTGCCTTGTCCTGGGTAAGTATCAGAAGCCTCCCCATACTGAGATCCCTTGCCCTGTGCTGCCAGCTTGGAGGCCCAGGAGTTTGAGGCACGTGTGCCTTCTGGGCCAGTCATGGGATCACACCTGTAATCTCAGCACTTCAGGAGGCTGAGTTGGGAGGACTGCTTGAGCCCAGATCTTTGAGACCAGCTTGGGCAACCTAGCAAGACCCTGTCTCTACTAAAAATTTAAAAAAATTAGAAAGTGCTCTCTGGAAAAGCTGACTAACCCTCCCTGCTTCTCAGTGCCCCTCCTAATGTATGTCTAGGGCCTCTCAGGGGCTTCGATCCATTCCTCATGAGGGTGGGACTCATGCTGGTCTTTTTCCTGCCCCAGCCTGGCTTTCTTGTCTGCCTTGTTCTTTGGTGACAGGAGCAGGTTGCAGTCCAGTTATTTGAACAGGAGAGTTCTATAAGATCGCTGGAGGGGTCAGGGAAACCACCTGTGGCCACTCCTTCTGGATCCTTCTCTAACAGAACCCCCAGCCTCCAGGAGGTGAAGATGCAGGTGAGTCTGTAGGGGTGACAGCTTTGAAGTATATTGAACAATAACTGGGCTGGGGAAGAGGGAAAAGAGATGGGGGGTCAGGAATAGGACAGTATGGATAGACTACTGTACCCACATCTTGATGTCACACTGGGGTGCTCTCTCCCACCGCAGCGCATTGGGATCCTGCAGCAGCTGTTGAGACAGGAGGTGGAGGGACTTGTAGGAACCCAATGTGTCCCCCTTAATGGAGGCTCCTCTCTGGATATGGTTGAACTTCAGCCCCTGCTGACTGAGATTTCCAGAACTCTGAATGCCGCAGAGCATAACTCTGGGACTTCCCACCTTCCTGGACTGTTACAAAACTCAGGGCTGCTAAAGCCCTGCCTTCCAGAGGACTGCAGGGAACCACAGCCCTGCCCTCCAGCAGAGCCTGGGCCCCCAGAGGCCTGCTGTAGGAGTGAGCCTCAGATACCAGGGCCCTCCCCGCAGGAACAGCTTGAGGTACCAGAGTCCTGCCCTCCAGCAGAGCCCAGGCCCCCAGAGGCCACCTGTAGGAGTGTGCCTGAAACATCAGAGCCCTCCTCCCAGGAACAGCTTGAAGTACCAGAGCCCTGCCCTCCAGCAGAGCCCAGGCCCCCAGGGTCCTGCTGTAGGAGTGAGCCTGAGATACCAGAGCCCTCCTCCCAGGAACAGCTTGAAGTACCAGAGCCCTGCCCTCCAGCAGAGCCCAGGCCCCCAGGGTCCTGCTGTAGGAGTGAGCCTGAGATAGCAGAGCCGGGGCCCCTTCAGCCCAGCACCCAGGAGCAGGCTGGACCCCCAGGGCCCTGCCCTAGGGTACAGCTGGGGGCATCAGAGCCCTGCAGCCTAGAACATAGAAGTGCAGAGTCCAGCCTACCACCCTGCTGCAGTCAGTGGGCTCCAGCAACCACCAGCCTGATCTTCTCTTCCCAACACCCGCTTTGTGCCAGCCCCGCTATCTGCTCACTCCAGTCTCTGAGGCCTCTAGCAGGCCAGGCAGGTAAGGAGTTGGCTGGGAGGAAATGGGAACATGGGAGGTCCTCATCTCACTGTGAGCTGTGCCCCTACCCCTGCCCCAGGCAATCCCATGCTTCCCCGCCTTCCACCCTGCCCCAGCCTGGCTCTCCCTCAGGAAGAGGGGAGGGGGTGCACTTCCAGCCCTTCGCTCCCAAGGGCTTGGCCCTTGGTGAGGGAGGAGGAGAGGAAAGGACATGCTGGAAGTATAGGACCCCAGAGACCCCTCTAAACTCTCCATGGTCCTCAGGCCCCAGCAGCCTGGCCCCTCGAACCCTAGCCCTGAGGCAGCGCCTCAAAGTGTGTTTAACCGCCATCCACTGCTTCCACGAGGCTCGCCTGGATGATGAGTGTGCCTTTTACACCAGCCGAGCCCCTCCCTCAGGCCCCACCCGGGTCTGCACCAACCCTGTGGCTACATTACTCGAATGGCAGGAAGCCCTGGTGAGACTCCAACCCCCAGCCTAACTGTGGCTGCACAGTGAGCCTGATGGCAGGTGGGGGGCAGGGGCAGGGGGCCACCTGGGCTCCTTCACAAAGAGGTCAGCAGGAAGGCTTGGCTACAGTGCAAGTTTGGCTGGGCTGTGACAGGGTCTTCTCTCTCTCCAGTGTTTCATTCCAGTTGGTTCTGCTGCACCCCAGGGCTCTCCATCATGAGGCACCCACTCCTGCGCTGCTGTGCATCTTCCTTTTAGCCCTTATTTATTGTCAGTCTGCCCATGGGACTGGGAGCTGACCATTTTTGTCCTTAATAAAGTTTCTCAAGTATCCACATGTCTAGCTAATGAGTTCTAAGTGTTCACAGGCCAGCTACTGTCACTCTCCCGTTGCCCACATGGTGGCAGTGTCTTCCAGCTCAGAGTCCAGCCCTGGGCTCTCAGGATCCCCCAGGCTCCCATCCAGAGGCCATCCTGAATCCTGAAAGGAAGGGAGGCATCCCACTCCTGCCTAGCCCACAGCCTCACAAGCTCTGTGAATATGTTGGTGAGCAATTGTGGGATCCGCTCTTCCTCTCACTCCTTGAGATCAGTCCTACTTATTTGCAGGAGCCCTCAGGTACTCCTTCACCCCCTAGAGCTCGTCTTCTAAAACTCTACGTGCATTGGGCAGAAGAGCAGAAGCACCAGACCCAGACCTTCGGAATCTTCCCTTGTTAGTGTCACTCAGGTTGGTGTCTTCCTCCACCTACAGCGTGAGACCCTCCCCCTTTCTTTCCATAGCAGAGTAGAAGCCTCTCTCTTTCCCGCTAGAGGCAGGCCTTCCTTGGAATGAACTAAATCTTTGCCTCTGGCAGGGACTGACAGCCCGGGAGGAGCCCTTTAGAGGAATGATGGAAAGGGCCAGCCACTTTTTCCCCAGTGATTAAGCAGCCACACACGATCCCCCAACCTCACTTTATTGGAAGAGGCAGCAGCAGCTGTAGCCCCTGGGCCTAGCCCGGATAGGGGTGGAAAGGGGACTGTACAGAATGCGTTTTAAATGCCAGGAGAGAATTCACCAAGGCTGCCAAGGCTGGAGCCAGAGCCTGAAAGTGGAGATGAGGGGAGGAGGGGGTGGTAAGGGAAAGTTATCAGGACTGAGAACGTGGCTACCCTGTCTTAATGTCTTCTCTTGCCTAAATGGGCTCCTCCTGTTTCTTTTATTTCACTCAAAAGCTGCGGGGGCTTCCCTCGGCTTTCTGGGCCTCTTGCCCTGCTAGTGAAACTGCTCCCCATCTCTGTACAAAAGAGAGAGCCACGACCTCTGCCCCTCTGGGGTCCAGCGGGCACTTGGGTGCAGGTGGTCCCTCTGGAAGTCGCTCTGCTCCTCCCGCCGGGTCTCCTCCTCCTCCTCCTCCTGGTCATATACCCTTGAGCACCAAGAGTCCACCCATTTAGGCCGCCTCCGGGAATGAGAGGGTCCACCCCACTGGCAGACTCTCAAAGGGCGGGGTGGCGCCTCAGGTGGGGCGGGCTGGAGGTGGGTGAGGACGGGAGCGAAGGCAGGATGGGGGGCGCTGGGCGGGGCCGGCTCAGTCAGGGTAGATGATGAAGCCGGAGAAGGTGCTGTACTTGTTGGTGTTGCCGCCGTGAACCTTCCCGCCGTCCAGCTTGATGAAGACCTCGTCGCCCACGTCCAGGTGCAGAATGACGCTGTTGCTGGCGTAGTCATAGTTCTGGTCCGCGTCCTGAGCAATGGCGCTGGCCCGGACCTAGCGAGGGAGGACAAAACAACCCGCTCATGCTCTGTGTGGAGCTGGAGTGATGAGAGGGGTCGGGGCGGCTGGGCGTGCGAAGGCTGCAAGGCAGCCGCGGTCGGGGCTGGGGAGGACCAGGGAGAGTAGGACATCGTGGAGCTGCTCCGGCTCTGCCATTCACTAGCTGTGTGACGCGGGGCAAATTCCGCGCCTTTTCTGGACTTCAAGTTGACCTATAAAATGAGGGATAATAATAGAACCCACCTTATAGGGTGTTAGAATTAAGTGAATTATATGGTAAGTGTGTCCAGAACAGTGGTTTGCATTCTTAAATTAATTTTCTTTTTTCGAGACAAGAGTTTTGCTCTTGTTACCCAGACTGGAGTGCAATGGCACAATCTCGGCTTACCGTAACCTCTGCCTCCTGGGTTCAAGCAATTCTCCTGCCTCAGCCTTCCGAGTAGCTGGGACTACAGGCGTGCACCACCATGCCCAGCTAATTTTGGTACTTTTAGTAGAGACGGGGTTTCACCTTGTTGACCAGGATGGTCTCAATCTCTTGACCTCGTGATCCACCTGCGTCGGCCTCCCAAAGTGCTGGGATTATAGGCGTGAGCCACCGCGCCCAGCCCTTCTTAAATTAATTTTAATGCTTTTTCACATTCTATTCTCATTTTAAAAATAAAAGCCACGCCTGTAATCCCAGCACTTTGGGAGGCTGAGGCGGATGGATCACCTGTGGTCAGGAGTTCAAGACCAACCTGACCAACAGGGCGAAATCCCGTCTCTACTGAAAATACAAAAATTAGCTGGATGTGGTGGCAGAAGCCTGTAGTCCCAGCTATGCGGGAGGCTGACACAGGAGAATTGCTTGAACCTGGAGGCTGAGGTTGCAGTGAGCCAAGATCGCCCCACTACACTCCAGCCTGGGTGACCTAGCAAGACTCCGTCTCAAAAAAGAAAAAAAATTAAAATGCGTCTATAGGATAATTTCTAAAATTCTGAACCGGCTCGGAGCTCCTCTCAGTCCTCATAGAGGGTTGGCTTCCCCCGTGGTGGAACATAGGTGTACCTGTGCGAGTATAGGGTGCGGGCCGTGCAAAGGTGCACTGTTGCGCTCTTGCCTGTGGGCGCAGATTTCCCGACTGAGCACCCGTTGGTGCCCAGGCGTGGGAGTCGCCTTCTGGCAGAACAGGAAGCCCTTCCTCCCCTCCGAGCTCATGGCGGTCGCTTCGGGCCTCCTCCAGCCCCCCTCTTCCAGAGAGTCCCACAGGGACTGGTTATTAACTCATTAATTATTCATCATTATTCTAATCACTATTTACCGTCCCCAGGGCCGCAGCGCCGGCTCTGAGGAATACAGAGTGGGAGCTGCACGGTCCCCTCCCCCTCCGAAACCCGCACGCTTTAGTTACACACTCGCCCCTCCGCCTCCTCCCAGATACCCTGCATAGACCAAGCACACCTACTCCGTGTCATAGGCAGACCGACACCACTCTACTATCACACCTTCACACTCAGCACTCACACACACTCCCTGACACACTCTCACCCCATGTGGACGCACACTCACTCTCCTTCCTTGGGCTCCTGCGGCAGCCCTGCTGGGTTGAGACCCCAAAGCAGGTCTGGGGGCGGGCAGGCCTTGCAGCGGTATTGGGCTCCCACAGGCCTGAAGCTCCTCGGTAGCCACCACCTGCTTCACACAGGGTACTGAGGTCACCGCTCAGCCCCAACGTCCCCCTGCGGCCTGCGCGCAGCTCTGGCACCTTCTCCCACCCGACCCCACACCTGCGGCCTCTGGTTCCCACTCTGTATGAAATTTTGGTGCCAGAGCTTAGTCCTTGGGACTATTCCCCTGAAACAGAGGTGACAGTGACTCCAACTACCCACAAGGGTAGGGAGCCGTGGTAACTGGATACTGAGAGGTTGCTAGGGAGGGTGTGGGACCAAGCCAGGGTCCAAGGCTTTTTTACCAGTCCCTTGCCTCTTCCTCCCCCAAATTCATTCCTTCCAGCCACCTGGCTGACCCTTGAGCTGCCAGGCCACAGACTCAGCTGAAAGCAAGGCCATTCTAGGCCCCCCCAGCCTGGGGTGAACAATAGGACAGCTGCTCGGCAGGTGAAATGAGCAAGGGAATGTTTTCTTCCTTTTTACCTTTTCCTCAAGCACCCAGGCTGAATGCCCCCAACATGGGAATGGCTGCCGACTTCCTACTCCCTGAGACACGGATTTCATTCTAATTCAAAGGACCCTAGACTCTAGTTAGCTGGTACAACGCGAGGCTGGGAGACCCAAAGGCCAGGGAGGGACTCCGCGGAATAAAAAGGATGGCCCAAGACAGGACAAGAAAAGAGGCGAATTGTCAGGGCGAGACACCAAAGACATCTGGTGTTGCCCACAGTTGCAATGCGAGTCGCAGCTGTAGAGACACACAGGTTTGAGTCCTGAGTTCTAATTCCAACGCCATTTCTACACTCCGTGAGGCCCTAGGTAGGTGGTTTTCCTTCTCTGGGCCCCAATTTCCTCTGTGGGTTAATGAAGCGATCTATCGTTCTTGGCAGCCTGGGGTTCCTGGATTCCGTGACGCCGTTTCGGGCAAGGAGCTCAGGTTGTGGGATGAGTGCGGAGAGATCTAGAGAGCGACCAGTCTGAGCTGGGCTGGGGGAGGGGCATCTCACCTGTCCGTTCTTCATCAGGTCTGCCCACATGCTGGTGCCGTCGCCGCCGCGCATGAGCACGTGGTAAGCGAAGAAGTAGACGCCTGGCATGGGGCAAGTAAACTTGCCGCTGGCTGCCTCGTAGGCGTTGCCCACGTTGGTCACCACGTCGTCGAAGCGCAGCACTTCGTACCCCTCGTGGGGCCGCCGCAGGCCCGCGTAGAAAGCAATGCGAGGCACGTAGCCGGCAGGGGGCGCCACCCCGCCCGGACCTGGGCCTGGAGGGCCCGGGGGTCCTGGCCTGCCTGGCTCTCCCGGCGGTCCTCTTGGACCTGGCGGCCCCGGGGGCCCCCGTAGGCCTGCTTTCCCGCGCCTGCCCACCTCTCCCTTGGCGCCCGGCGGGAAGGGGGGCACGGAAGCAGGCGCGCCGTCGGGGCCCTGGCCTCTGGGCCCATGCGGGTCACACACCATGCGGCAGCGACCCAGCATCTCGTAGTGCGCTGGCCCGCGGGAGCTGTGCACCAGCAGCGGGATGGCCACCAGCAGCAGCAGCACCATGGCCACCCCGACGGCCGCGCCCGCCACCCTCTTGCGGCGGCTTAGCCGCGACGCGGCCAGGGCCAGCAAATCTTCCTCACTCTTGGGCGCAATGGCTGCCGGGGCCCGGGGCTCTCCGCGGGCCCAAGAGGCGGTGACCCGCCTTGGGCAGGGGTCTGCACTCCCCCGACGGCTGCCCCCGCTCCCCCTACTCTACCTCTGCGGCCTCGCCGCTGCGTTGCCGCTTCCCGAGCCGAGCCGTCAGTCGAGGGGAGGCCCCCCCGTGGGCTACGTCAGGGATAGCTCCCGACGGTCCAGAATCCCTGGTCCTCTAGTACCCTCCCATTCAGTCCTAAGGATCCTGGGCACCTGAGATCCGCGGCTTCTCGGACGACTGGTTTCTTACAGATCTGAGATGTCTGCTCTCCAGACTGCCGCTTTCTCAGGGATGGCGGTGCCTGGGTCCCAGGCTGCCCAGACAAACCGCTCTTGGCTGGAGCCGGGACTACTCCCCGCTCTCCGGACGTCCCAGGCTCTGAGCTGCGGGTGCTGTCCACCGTGCACGATCTCCTCGTAGGTTTTGCGCTCTGCCTCCAGGCAAGCACCGACTCACCTTGCTACCCCTGCCGCGGTCCCAGCCCCTGCTAGAGCCCTGGCCCGTGCCTCTCTCCTCTCCGCGTCCCTAACCTTCCTCCCCTCCCTCCCGGGCGGCGATGCGGGTAGTGTGAGTCGCCGCGAGGCGAGAGCCACTATAAGCGACTGGAGGCAGAGCGACCCCTGGTGCCCAGAGTGGGAAGCGCGGGGGCGGGGCAGGCAGCGGCCCCCACCCACGTTCCCCCCGGGTCTCTAGGTTCCTTCCCCACTTTGAGCAGGTTCTGCAGGGTTTGGCGGCCCCCATCCTATCTTTACTTTCACCCTTTACCCGGAGTTTGGCATCTTCAGAGCCCAGAGGAAACCCAGAACAGCGATGGGATAAAGAGGGGTCAAGACACAAACACGCAGAGATGACAGGGGTAGATTCCCTAGCTAAAATGAGGGGGAGTGACCTCACAAACAGAAAACAATATAAGAAGGGCTAGAAAAGATAGAAATTCGCCACCCACGCCCCTCAGCGCCCGTGACTGAATAACATGGAAAAGGGTTCAACTGATACTAGTTGGCCTGAACTGGAAAAGGCAAATCTCTAGGTACCCCCACCACCATCTCTCAGTATTGGGGGCGCAGAGCAGAGTGTGTGTGTGTGTGTGTGTGTGTAGGGAGCAAGAGAGAATAAGAACAGACCAGCCCTAGGGAGCAAGCAGGAAACCGACAAGAAAGCAGAGAAGGAGCGACAGAGAAATCAAAGAAAAGGAAAGCCAGATAGAGATGCAGAGACAGAGACAAAGCTTGGAAAAGAGACGGACTGACAGCCCCAGAGGGGGAGAGGGAGAGACAGAGACAGAGGAAAAGAGACGGAGCTGGGACAGGTTGACAGATCGAGAGAGAAATGTAAATGGCCCGCTGCAGAGAGACACCCAGGTCCGTGTTTGGACTCCAATGTGACATATCAACTGTGGGGAAGACGCGGGGGCAGGGCAGCTCTGCCAGTAGTGCTATGCTCTGGGCCTGTGTATTGTGACAGTGTGCTCCAAAGTGTGGAGGTGGCCATGGGATCCTGGCCCTGTGTGTCCCCGCGTGAGTGCGATTGTGGATTGTGTCATTTGTGTATGTATGTGTGAGGGCTGTTTGAAGGGAGGGATTTGTATTTGCCTTCCTCTTAGTCCCTAAATTTGGAGCCCACGAATACCACTTTTCCTACCTTGGGACTGAGAATGAGGGAATCTACTGGGGAGAAAGGAATTCAGAAGACAGCTGTCATCTCATTTGCCCTGCTCAGCTTACTGAACGCCACCCTCCCCTGGTCCCAGACTTATACAGTCCCAGGACTCTGCCCCTTCCTCCTTCCTCAAGAATTTGTTGTTAGATGAAATCTAGCAAAGTTGGACCCCACATAATGGGTACTTAGAGTGGGGGTTGAAGTTGGTCATGCAAATTAATGTAAGTAAAATGCAGATTATATGCTAGGTACCCTCCTGTAAGAGGGGACTTACCTGTCTTTCAGAGAGGCCAAGAGGGTACACAGGCTTTGCTAGATCAGGGTCCAGAGAAAAAGCTATTGGCTGCATCCTTTCTTAGGGCCTGGGCCCTCTGGGAAAATGTCTTGCTCCCAGGGATCCCAGAGGCTAGGAAAACAGGCTTTGGGACTGGTGAAAGTAGGGACGTTTGGAGACCCTGGAAGTGAACAGCTGCAAAGGCCTCTTAGAGACCAGGATAAGCCAGGACTGTCAATGTATGGGAATACACTGTGTAAAATGGAGGGCACAGGGCACACCAGGGCATGGTTATTGGATGGAACGTGATTTCCTCCTCTCTTGTTTTCTGTACTCCTTCCTTGCACCACCTGACCCCTACCTTGTAATGATGCTGGGAGAGAGAGGTTGCTGAGGCTGGGCCTGTGTTAGGAGTCAGGGGAGGCCCCTAGATGTCTGCATGGAGTGGGAGAGAAAGGATTGGCAGTCAGTGGGGGAGGGGCCTCCTCCTCCAACCATAAATACAAATTTTATTCAAGGTCTTTGTCGCCATTTGTCTTCCTCGGGGGGCTGAGGGCCGTGTCAGCCCTGTGCATGTCTAATTCCGGATCTGCTCCCCCAGGCTGGATGATGGATGGATCAGAGAGTGGGCCCAGGCTCACACCAGCCTCCCCTGCCTGATCATCAGGCCCCATCCACCTCACGTCCTGCCACTACTCTCCTTCCCTTTGCCCTCCCTCCACTCACCAGAGGCCCCCTCTGCCCAGCCCGGCTCACCACTCATTCTATTTACCAAGGCCCCCTTTTTAAATCCCTCACCTCAGCCCCTTTCAGGTCCCAGTCCTCTTCTCTCTAGAGCTTCCCCTTTCCTCCCATCCCCAGCCCAGGCTGTGAGCTGTGGTGGCCAGCAGGGCTGCAGGCAGCAGAGGATCTGTGTGGTGGGGGGAGCCGGCTTGGCTCACCGGGAGCTGAGGGGCCAGCTCCATGAATTTATTCATGTTCTGTTGCTCTTTCACCACACTCTGGAATGAAGCTGCCAGCTCACCAGGTCCTTATTGCTTCCCCTGCAGCTGTCACATTCTGCCAAGAAGGGACCTGGGTGGGGCCGAGGCCAGCCTGCACACCTGGGCCCAGAAGCCAAGTGTCTGGGCTCCAGGGAATGCTGGGGCCCAGGCTGAAGTCTGGGACAATTTACCCAGAACTCCTCCAGCAGCCAAACTGGGAGGCCCCAGGGAGCTGGTGTGGTTGGGAATGGGAAGTAGGTAGAGAAGGGTGTGCTGCAGGACAAAGAAGGGGCAGTGGAAGTGGGGGGCAGAGCTGGCAGGGGGAGGGGAGAGGGGAGGAAACCATTAACAGTTTCCCAGTCTCCCCCATTTAAAGCTGAAGTCAGCCTTCACATAGCACAGTCAGAAGGCTGCATTAAACTCTGTCCTTGACTCTGCACTAATCCTGACCCTAACCCCTATTTATATACTTGACCCCTCTTCAATCCTAAAATGAATTTTACCTCCATAAACTGACCCTAAAGGGAATGCCTCCCTCACCTGTCCTGGAACCCAGGGGTCTCCCCAGAATTCCCCCTAGGGCCACAGCTAGGTGTGTGTCAGGGTTCTGAGGACCAGACTCTGGATTAGCATGTGATTAGCATATGATCTGCATGTAATATGTGCCTTCTACTCTGCGGAAGTTTTCATGTTAAAATTTTATGAAGTCTAGTGGAAAGGTCCTGGCTCCTTGAAAGTTCTCCCTTTCTGTTCCTTCTATCACACTTCTTGTCACTGACCCAGACCCCCTCAAGGGAAGAAAGGGGGTGAAGAGGCGAGCTATAGTGGGCCCTTGGGAAGCAAGGCTCCAGCAGTGTGATTTGCCTCCATCACTTGCACAAGCTTCAGTTTACTCATCAGTAAGAAAAGAGAAACCTCCTCTCTGCCTGACACTTTATCAAGATCTAAGGAAACACTTTTTTTTTCCTTGCACTCTCTCCTTCCTCTCTTTCGGGGCCAGTCACAGTGTGGTTCTCCCTATTCATTCTCACATTCTGGCTTTCAACTCTCACACTGAAGATCACACAGATCTGGAAGCAGGCTGGGTTGCCTGGTACCAGTACTCTAGTATGAAGAGAAGGGAACTTTGCCCACATGAGGGACCAGGGTCTGCGTGGAAAAGGAAACAACATTATTGAGTGTGTATTGTATTTTAGGGTTTTAACATGCAACTGCTCATTGCATCCTCACAGCACCCCTTAGAGGTAGATATATTGTCCCCATTTTACAGGTAAAGCAATGGGCCCAGTAAGGGGAAATGGCTTGTCCATTATCACCCTGTAAGGGATAGTCCTGGAATTGGAGTTATGACCTCCTGGCTTCCTTCTCAGTTCCCAAGAGGAGACAAATGGCATCCAAAGCAGTGGAAGGGTGAGAGAGGCGAGCCAGGAGTGGGCAGTGAGATTTGAATAACTTCCAGATTTCTGTCTGTGAGGCCAACAGGGTCGGGTGTTGGCTCCGTGTATCCTCCAGCCCCCACCCTGTCACTGTCAAGCCTGACACTCAACAGGTGATCAACTGTTGGCTAAAGGATGGCCAAAGTTAGTTTCAGAAAACTGAAGGATGGTGGAAGAGGGGGCAGAGAAAAGGGAGGAAAAGGAAAACGAAGCAAATCAAGGAAAATTTGCTTAAGGGACAAACGGGAAGACTGAACTGTTCTCCCACTGTGGCTGGAAAAACTGTCCCAGCCCAAGAAATGGTTCTTGGTTTGCCTCTGTGCAGAGACTACCTGCTTGCCTCTGCCATCAGGCAGAGAGTGAGTGCAGGGCCAGGCGCAAGGCTCCCACTCAGCAGCCAGTGCCTCTGGCACTGAAGCTCAATGCAAACTTGAGTTCAAAAAGTGTCGCACCAGGGCCCACAGGGCTGAAGAGAAGCTCCTGGCTACCCAGAGAGTGTGTAAAGACTGCTTCCAGGGTATCTGTCAGTCCAGAACTGTTGCTGATTTACTTCGGCAGCCCTCCATCCTTGGCCAGGTGTTGCTCCTAGCCCTTGCCTCCTCCACCTCCCTTTGCACCCGCCTCTGCCTCTACCGGCTTGCCAGCTCCAGCCTCCAGTTAATGAAAAGTGAGGATCGGCTGCACAGAGAGCTGTCAGACCCCTCATTTCTCCCCTGGGATATTGACTCCAGCTCCGGGAGACCGACAGGTGAAAGGAGGCAGGTGGGGTGCGACAGGTGAAAGGAGGCAGGTGGGGTGCGGAAAGCCGAGGTAGGGGCCCGGGCTGCTGAGAGCTCAGAGCCCAGGAGGTAGTGCCAAGCTCCAAATCTCAAGGGCTTAGCTAAGCAGGGAAGGCCCTAGGATGCTCTTTCTGCTTGGGATCCTCAACTTTTCTCTGACGAACGGGAGACTTAACGAACCCCAATCCACCACACCCCGACCCGGATCGACCCCGAACTAGCACCTCGTGCGAGCTGGGCTTCAGTGAGCGCGACGCGCAGCGCCTCGGAGCCGGAGACCGCGGCCGGGTGCTTCCTCCCATCTCCTTCCATTCCTTCCCTCTTGCTCCCCCTCCCTCCTGCACTCCCTCCCTCGCGGCCGCGGCCTTTATTAGGGATTCCGCGGCTGTCGGTCCCGCCATCCATCCTGTCCGCCGGCAATTAGGCGGCCAGACAAAGAGCAGCTTCGGATGGATGAGGGTCCCGGCGGATCGGAAATGTGAAGGGTCAGCGCTGCCGCCCGCGGCGCACCCCGCTCCCCCTTCCGCATAATCACCGGCCGCCCGTCACTCAGCCGGCCGCCCGGGGAGCTCCCGGGCCCGGCCCCGGAGAGGGCGGCGTGCGGTTGCAGCCTAGGCGCGCAGGGCAGGACGAGGGCGGACCTGCGGCAGGGGCGTCTCCCACAGGGCAGCTGAAAACTGCGGCCTGAGGCGTCTAGCAGAAAGGAGGGGGGAAATTATGGCCCCGGGCGCTCCCAGAAGGGAAACTGGGGCTGGGGGCTGAGGGCCTACCTGTGGGGAAGAGGGAACAAAAGCTGAGGAGACCGGAGGCCCGAGGTGCAGGGCGCCCCCTGCTGGGAAGCTGGGGACCAAGCCCTAGGGGTCCGGCAGGTACAGATGGAACCAGGCCCAGGGCGACCCCTCCTAGGGAAACCAAGGGTTTCTAGCCTGGCTCGCCTCCTACCGACTTTGAATGACACTGCGCTTCTCTGCCCGCTCTGTTCAGTAAAACGCAACCCATCCGCATCCACTCAAGAGTCCTGGCGAACCCGAGGGGAGCCGAGAGGGAGTCCAGGGAGTCCAGGTTTTACTGCAGATTCTTTGGCCCTAGCTCCCAGCTGACAAATCAACATCTCAATCTGACAATTAGTGGTCGAGATGGGGGGTGAGGGACTCTCACAGCCCAGGCCTCTCAGCCCTCCCGGCGGGAGGCAGAGAGGTGGGCGGTCCTGGCAGTGATAAACGACTCCAGGGGGGCCGGGGGCCCGGAGCGCGCATTCATTACTCGACTGACAGGCGGGTGGCGGGCCGGGCGGGCTCCGAGTGGACGTGCTGGGAAAGAGGCCGGTAGCGAGAGGGGGATAAGGCAAGCGTTTAACAGTCCCACTGCTCCGTCTGCTCCTGGTCCTTCACCTTGACCCTGGGACTTGACTTCCTTGAGCTCGGGCTCCCAGTTATTGGAGCTGACCCTGGCTGGGACGCAAGGGCGGGGACCTAAGTCCTCTTCTGGGGTTAGGTGATTTAAGGTCTGAGATGTCAAGGAAGGGTATTAGGCAGGTCTCAAGACTAGGTGCTTCGGCCTGACCTCTGAGAAATTGTGCGTGACTGCGCACTCAGAGGTGGTGTGTGTGACAGGGATTGATGAGTGTGGATTGCACGTGGGAGTCAGTGACTGTGTGTGTCAGTGCTAGGTATGTGTCAGTATGATTTTGTCAGTGGAGGTGTAAGATTCCGGTCTGAGGATGAGCCACCACCTCTCCCTGTGTGTCTGTCTCCCCACTACTCCCCAGCTGGCTGTCAGTTCTGTCTCCAGTTGTGGAGGAACTGGCAGTGCGCAAGGTGACAGCTGAGGTGTGCTGCTGGGGTGGGGGGTGGGGGTAGTGCTAGATGTTAACTGTGAGAGCGCTGGTCAGAACAGCTGCTCCCTTCCAGCACCTTGACCACTAACATCCCTACCCCCAAGGGTCTTGAAAGTAGTGGATGGTTTTTTTGTTTGTTTGTTTTGCCAAAGTTTGGACACCTAGTTGCTGTGCCCTGGGGAAGAAAGTGATTACTGCCATAGTTCTCTAGCCCATACCCCTACACATACACATACACCGTCTCCAATATAAGACATGATCTCCAACCCATGTGGCCTCCCTAGGCTTGTGGTGGCCAGAGAGGAGTTGGTAGATGTTGAGGAGACACCTGTGTGATGCTCAAGAAGAGAGGGGCCGGCCTTCAGACCTCCAAGACAGCCTATCTCTTTGGAGCCTGTACTAGCGGCCTCTGGGACCCTAACCTTTTGGGTCTCAGGTCCAAGTTAGTTAGTAGTTTACACCTTGGGAGGTTAATGCTAACTGCACTCTAATTCTTCTCCCTAATAACTCTCTTCAGTTTGGCTTCCTCTTCACTCTCATTCCTCATTCTCAAAAACACCAAGAAGTTGAACCTGGCCTCCTTCTCAGTCCTGAAACTCCTGGGTCTACAGAGCAGAGAACTGGGGTGACTCTGGATCTCTGGCCCCTTGTTTTGTTCAGCAAGACCCCTTCTCTTTGCCTTACTGTTCCTTGAGGCTAGGGTATCTCCTGGAACTTCTCTATCTTTACCTCTATACCCTCCTCCTCCTCCTCCTCCTCCTCCTCCTCCTCCTCCTCCTCCTCCCCCTCCTCCTCCTCCTCCTCTTCCTCCTCTTCCTCCTCCTCCTTCTTCAGAAGGAGTCTTGCGCGGTCTCCCAGGCTGAAGTACAGTGGCACAATCTCGGCTCACTTCAACCTCTGTTCAAGAGGTTTCCTGCCTCAGACTCCTGAGTAGCTGGGACTACAGATGCCTGCCATTACACCCAGCTATTTTTATTTTTTTGTATTTTTATTAGAGACAGGGTTTCACCATGTTGGCCAGGCTGGTCTCGAACTCCTGACCTCAGGTGATCCACCCACCTTAGTCTCCCAAAGTGCTGGGATTACAGGCATGAACCACCACAACTGTCCTCTGTACCCTCCTTTGTGTCTGCATATTTCCAAATTTAGGAATCTTCCAAATTTGTCTTCCTACATTTTGGGGTCTCTCTCTTTGTTCCTCTTGGGGCTCTTCTCTCTAAGAATACAACAGCCCAGCAGAATACCCCATGGAGATTGGAGTAGAAGAAGGAGGAGGGCTTTCTTCCTGCCCCCATCCAGAGGCTATTGCTAACCCAAGGATGGTCACACCGTGTCAAGGCTTGGCCACGCGCAGGTCACTTCACATTCTAGGCACAGGCGCTTGGTCGATGCCCTGCTGTCCATCCCTCCTCCAACCGCCCTCCTCCTGGCCCCCGCCCCCTCTGCCCGCCTGGAAAAGGCAAATTTGACATTTTTAAATCCCGAGCCTTAGAGGGATCGATGCGGCCCGGGGGCCCCGCCCGGGGTCGATATTCCTGATTGGGAAGCGGCCGCTGCGCGGAGCCCGCGTGTAAATCACCCGGGCTGGGGGAGGGGGCGTGGGGAGCCTACCAGGTCCAAGAAGCGCGAAGCCAGGAGGGGTCGAGACCCGGGCGGAACCCAAGGGCGTTGGAATGAGAGCGACAGGCCTTAGAGAACCGGAGAGATGCCCGCTGAGGGCCTCCCCCTCCCCCGCTCAGCTCTGCCAACTCCCCCGGCCGGCTCTAGTCTCGCTTCAGCGGCCGCTACCCTTCGTTGCCCCTGGAGCCGCTGGGGAGGCCAGTGTCGGAGCCAGCCATGCGGCGGCTCCTCTCCGGCCGCTCCCGCGGGGCCGGGGCTTCGGCGGCTGCTGTCACGGAGCCGACAGGCCGGGCGGGCAGGGAAGGGGCGGGTGGTGGGGAAGAGGCGGTGGAGTGAGGCTGGCTCAGTGCTGGCACTCAGTGGGCGCGCAACATTTATTTGCCAAACTGAGAGTCTGGGACACCAAGCGGCGCAGGGAAGGGGGTCGGAGGACAAAGGCGGCTACGAGATGGCCCAGACCTGGTGAGAGCGGAAGCCTCACTCGAGGGGGAAGGCACTCGAGGTTGCTCTGGGGACTGCTGGGCTGGGAAAGACCACCTCAGCCCCCACCGGGGAGAACCGGGTAGTAAACAAGACAGAATGGGGCAGGCAGGAAAGTTTGAACCCCTCCTACAAGCGCCTCCTTCACCCCCGCCTCCGATCCTTGTCGCGCTCCGCTGGGGAAACCGAGGCAGCCGAGACTGAGAAGGGCCAAGAACGTTAAAAGCGGGGTCAGCGACGAGGCTGGGGCAGCAACCAGAATTCCCGCGCGGTTTCTGGATTCCCCCGTCCACGCGGGGCCCGTTTGCGGGTAAATGCACCACCACGCCCCCCACCACAGCGCAGACCGTTTCCTCTCGCTACAGCTTGTCAGATCCCCCCACCTCCCACTCTGCGCCAGTTTATAGAACAACAATTTGGGGAAAACAATCCGGGCCGAGTGACGGCCCAGTAATTGTGACAAAGTGAGTGCGGGCAACTGGAGAGAGTGCTAGGGCGGGAACGCTGCGGGGCGAGGAGGAGGCTGGGGCACCTCCCCCCGCCCTGCCGCCCCCTAGTTCTTATTCTGGTCACCTCCCATTCCTCTTCTTGACTCTTCTCCAATTCCTCTTTTCCCGGCCCCTCGCGCCTTCCTTCGCTTGTTCCTCCATCGCTCTTCCCTTTCCTCCCGGTAACAGCTCTTCTCCCGCTTCCCTCAACCCACCGCCCTCCCCCGGTTCGCTTTTTCCTCGCTCACTTCTGCCCTCTCCTCCGCCCTCCACTCGTTTCTTCAGCTTTTTCTCTCACTCACGTTGCCCTTTGGCCCCTGGCTCTCCCAGCACAATTCGCTTCTCTCACTCCCCAGTCCTAGCTTCCGGAGATCGAGCTTTGAGCCCCATCCCGACCCCCACTCTCTGGGTCGCCAGCCTGCATTCTTGGGTTCCTTGGCCGGTAGAGCTGGTGGCGCGCTGCTGCCCAGGTGCCCCAGCAGCCATCCCCTTTCCTCTCCCTTGTGTAGCTGCCGCCCCCACCCCACCCCCCGAGCCAGGAGATTGTTTGTCCAGCGGCGGCCGCTGCGGCCCACGCTGTTTGCAAAGCTTAGCGCGCCGTCGCGCAGTGCGGGCCCAATTAAGTCTCATTCATTATTCAGCGCCCCTGTCTGCCCCCGCCCCCAGCAGTCTGAGGCGTCGCTTTGGGGCCCCTCCCAGCCTTAGACCCGCAGTGAGCCCTAAGAGGTTATATAGAAAGCAGCATTTCCTCTCTAGGCCGAGAAGAGGGCTGAGGGCGCCGGGGGTTTGGAGGGATCTGCTTACTGCAGGGAGGTGACACCGGCAAGGCCGACCGTTCCCCACAAACGCCCTCAAGTCCGGATTGGGGGACCTTGGAGATCCACGAGATTTCCAGAGAAAGAAACTGAGGCCCAAGGAGCTGCATGACTTAACCAAGGTCACGGAGTAGAACCCGGGATTGGAGCGAGGCCGGGACATTGAAATGAAGGTGTCTTGCATTGCAGCTCCGTGGCAGCTCAGAGGCGCGGGAAGGCAGACCACCCCCAGCCTCGGGCTGCGGCCTCGCCCTCCTAGTGGTGCCTCCCGCCCTCCATCTCTCTGCTCCGGTTTCTTCCTCTGGCCCTTGGCCCGCGGGACAGAGCAGCCCTGGATTGGGAGGCTCCTCAGGTCTCATGCTCAGGTGCAAAAGCAAAGCCCTTAACTGGAAGGCCCAAAGGCGGGCCCGTGAGGCAAGCTCTGTGGGGGGCTGAGGCCAGCCTGTGTTTGGGGTGGTCCCTCCCTGCAGTAGTCAGCCTGTCAGTGGATGTCTCTGCCTTAGGGAAATTGGAGGTGGAACCGTCCAGTCTTGAAGGTCAACCGACCGTGAAGAGAGGAGCTTGCAGCTTGAGGTGAGGGGGAATCACCTTTCTATTTATGGGGGTGGGAAGAGGCAATCAAGGGCATATTCTTGCATTTACAGGAGTTTGTCCTTTTTTCAGCACTACAGATAGGAGCGTCCCTTGCTCCCGCCAGGCAGCCCCTCAGTAGGGGCCGCCGTGTGCTGCTGTGCCTCGGCATCCGCGCAAGGTGAGTCTGGGACCGCCCGGAGCCGCTCTTCTTCAGCGGCAGCGCCACCTGGCGGCCGTGGCGCCTTGGTGCGGGAGGCACTGGGCCTGGACTGGGCGCTGAGCTCGAGCGAGCTGACGGCGTCTGCAGAGCCTTGCACCGAACTTCCCTGCGAGGGAGGGCGGGAGGAGTCCCCGGCAGGAAGGTGATCTCTAGGGGGCCGGGGAGGGGCCCTGGGGAGGAGCCTGGTCTGGGGACGCCCGACTTCCGTGACACAAAAGACAAAGTCCATTTGGATGGAAGTAGGAGCCGGGCGAGACAGGCCATTTTCACTCTGTAGTCAAAGGAAATGACTGGTCTGATGCGGTCTGGGAGCGGGGCACCCAGGTACGGACGCTCAGTTTGGGACTAGAGGGTGCTGGCTGGTGGTCGCTCCACGTAAAGGGACACTGGCAGGCACGCTTGGCATCTGGTTTAATATAGTGAGGATTCGTCCAGCTGCTGTGGAGAGGCTTTCCAAGCCGGCCCCCCAAAAATGTAGGGTGCCAAGGTCTAGGTCAAACGTAGTTTTCCAGGATATTTTAATAGAGGGAATTCAAGACCCCTTTCAAGTTTGACGTGTGGGAAAATCTCATGACCTGGAGAGTTCGGAATGCTGGAGCCGGGCTAAAGCTTGGGCCCGCTCCAAAGTGTGGTAGGGCAGCCACAATTGGAGTTAAGTCAGGGGTGAGACAGAGACTTTCAAAATGTATGGGAACTTTGGAAAGGCATCCAATGCAGCCCTGCCCCTCCACACATTCCCCCATGAGTCATTTGGGGTCACTGGTCTCAGGGGAGGTCTGAAATTTAAACAGCTTCCTCCTCTAAATCTGGAGTCACTGTGGTTGTTGTAAAGAATGGGACTGAGGTGCTAAAGTGATATGAGATAAATAGCATTGTGGGGACTCAGGCAGATCTGGAGTCTACATTTTTATTTTTTTAATTGAGACACAGTTTTGCTCTTGTCGTCCAAGCTGAAGTGCAGTGGCGCAATCTTGGCTCACGGCAACCTCCACCTCCTGGGTTCAAGTGATTCTCCTGCCTCAGCCTCCTGAGTAGCTGGGATTACAGGTGCCAACCACCATGCCCGGATAATTTTTTGTATGCTTAGTGGAGATGAGGTTTCACCATGTTGGGCAGCCTGGTCTTGAACTCCTCCCCTCAAGTGATCCACCTGCCTTGGCCTTCCAAAGAGCTAGGATTGCAGGTGAGAGGCACTGTGCCTGGCCTGGATGCACCTTTATTAGAAGGAGAAATGGTTGCTGTTTGGAGCCTGGACATCGTCTTATGACTCTGCTTTTCCATCTCTTAGGGCCTAAGGACAACTCTGGAACCATGACGTCCATGATTCTCACAGGGGACCCTGAGATTTCTATGCTGTGAGAAACTGGACCTATTCTGAGACCTTTGCCTTACAGGATGGCCAAGGGGCTCCTGGTGACCTATGCCCTCTGGGCTGTGGGGGGCCCTGCTGGGCTCCACCACCTATACCTAGGAAGGGACAGCCATGCCCTGCTCTGGATGCTGACCCTGGGGGGTGGTGGGCTGGGCTGGCTTTTGGAGTTCTGGAAACTCCCAACCTTTGTAGCTCAGGCCAACAGAGCCCAGGGACAGAGGCAGAGCCCCCGAGGGGTGACACCCCCTCTAAGTCCCATTCGATTTGTCGCCCAGGTGATAGTTGGCATCTATTTTGGCCTTGTGGCGCTGATTAGCCTTTCTTCCATGGTCAACTTCTATATTGTGGCCCTCCCACTGGCAGTTGGCTTAGGAGTCTTGCTGGTGGCTGCTGTTGGCAACCAGACCTCAGACTTTAAGAACACTCTGGGGGCAGCATTTCTCACTTCTCCTATCTTCTATGGCCGCCCCATAGCTATCCTGCCCATCAGTGTGGCTGCCAGCGTTACAGCTCAGAAGCATCGCCGCTACAAAGCGTCAGTAGCATCAGAGCCACTCAGCGTGAGGCTCTACCGGCTAGGCTTGGCTTACCTTGCTTTCACGGGCCCACTGGTATACAGTGCCCTCTGCAACACAGCTGCCACCCTCAGCTATGTGGCAGAAACCCTTGGCTCCCTCTTGAACTGGTTCAACTTCTTCCCCCTTCTTGGCCGCCTCATGGAGCTTTTCCTTCTTCTGCCTTACCGGATCTGGAGGCTACTGATGGGGGATCCTGGCTTCAACAGCAGCTACTTCCAGGAGTGGGAGAAACTCTATGAGTTTGTTCAGAGTTTTCAGGATGAGAAGCGTCAACTGGCTTACCAGGTAAGGCTTTCTTCCCCATCAGTCCTGTCTGGTGGCTCTGGTAGCCCTCATGTGGAAGGACTGTTCTCGTGTCAGTTGGCCAGGCGCTGGAAGCATGCTCTGGCTTCTTTGGGTATCTGTGTGCAATGGGCAAAGGTCACAGAGGCTGTAATAGTGAGTAGGAAAGCTATATGTATATATTGTTTACTTTTTATTGAGGTACGACATATATAAAGTGCGCTAATTTTATGTATACCCCGCTTAGATCAAGGTATGAAACATTTCCAGCACTAAGGAATTTTTTTATTCCCCTTCTCAGCCTATACTCCCACCTTCAGAGGTCATCTCTGTTCTGACTTTTGTCACCATACATTAGTTTTGCTCATTCTTGAGCTCCAAATAGGTGGAACCATCCAATATGTATTCTTTTGCATTTGGCTCCCTCCTTCCCTCCCTCCCTCCCTCCCTCCCTTCCTTCCTTCCTGATGGAGTCTTGCTCTATTGCCAGGCTGGAGGGCAGTGGCGTGATCTTGGCTCACTGCAACCTGTGCCTCCCAGGTTCAAGTGATTTTCCTGCCTCTGCCTCCTGAGTAGCTGGGACTACAGGTGCACACCACCACCCCCAGCTAATTTTTGTATTTTTGGTAGAGACGGGGTTTCACCATGTTGGCCAGGATGGTCTTGACCTCTTGACCTCATAATCCATCTGCCTCAGCCTCCCAAAGTGCTGGGATTACAGGTGTGAGCCACCGTGCCTGGCCTTGTATTTGGCATCTTTCATCTTTCATTTAACATAATGTTTATGAGATTTATTTCTCTTGTTACTTGCAATTGTAAATTGTTTTCACTGTTGTAAAGTATCCCATTGTACGATTATAGCACAGTTTATCTACTCCACTGTGAATAAACATTTTGGTTGTTTCTGGTTTGGGGTTATTATAAATAAAGCTGCTTTGAGCTTTCTTGTACATGTCTTTGATGGACGTATATACATTTTATGTCTTTTGTTGGGAAATCTTGTCAGGGATATGAAAGTCCAGGTTGGAAAATAGGCAATTGTGACTAATGGCTCTTGCCATGAGATCTAGAGCTTGTCCATGTTTCAAAAGGCTGGTATTCTTTTCTCTAAAATAATTTTTTTCTTATTATTACTCTGTAATTCTAAGCTGAGCTGCTGGACCTTTCCCATGGGCAGCAAGTAGAAGCCAATTCTAGAGATATGATAGCCTGATTTAGCAAAGGTGCAAGAAGAGGCCCAGGTACTCTGAAAACTTGGGTGACTCTGATTTGTCATCTTCTGTTTCCATAAGGTTTTGGGCCTCCCAGAATGGGCAACAAATGAAGAAATACATCAGAGTTATCGGGAGCTAGTGAAGGTCTGGCACCCAGACCACAACCTGGACCAGACAGAGGAGGCACAGAGGCACTTCCTGGAGATCCAGGCTGCATATGAAGTCCTGAGTCAACCCAGGAAGCACAGGGGATCCTGGAGGTGAGAAGAAATGTCCCCCTGAGGATGGACTTCTTAGCAGAGCTTGGCAACTTGTCCCAAATCTAGCTTTGCCCACAAATGGCATCCCAACAGCATTGAAGAAACTCCTTGGTGGCTCACGCCTGTAATCCTGGCACTTTGGGAGGCTGAGGCAGGCAGATCACCTGAGGTCAGAAGTTCAAGACCAGCCTGACCAACATGGAGAAACCCTATCTCTACTAAAAATACAAAAAATTAGCCAGGTATGGTGGTGCACACCTGTAATCCCAGCTTCTGGGGAGGCTGAGGCAGTAGAATGGCTTGAACCTGGGAGGCAGAGGTTGCAGTGAGCCAAGATCGTGCCATTGCAGTCCAGCCTGGGCAACCAGAGCAAAACCCCATCTCAAAAAAAAGAAAAAGAAACTGCTTGCAGTGGACATGAGAAAACCTTAAAGGAGTGAGAAAGATTGCAGTAGAAGAATGTGTTTATATTCTGAATTTCTGGACTCTTGGCTATTGTAATTTTTTTCTTAAAACCAGAGACTGAGAGGCATATTGTAAAACAATCAAATATCTTTTAGAGTATGTATAACTATTAATTATCAATAAAAATAATTAGAAAAAATATATCTTTTAGAGAACACACCACTTTATCCCACCCATGTTGTATCGATATGTGATGGAGGAAGGTTATTTAACTTTTTTTTTTTTTTTTAAGAGGGAGTCTTGCTCTGTCTCCTAGGCTGGAGTGCAGTGGCACCATCTCAGCTCACTGCAACCTCTGCCTCCTGGGGTCAAGCGATTCTCCTGCCTCAGCCTCCTAAGTAGCTGGGACTACAGGCGTGCACCACCATGCCTGGCTAATCTTTTTTTATTTTTCTTTCTTTTTTTTTTTTCAATTTTCCCGGAAGCCCAAGATCAATTTTCTTTTTCTTTTATTTATTTTTTATTATTTTATTTTATTTTATGTTTTTAATCTTTTTGTATTTTTAGTAGAGACAGGGTTTCACCATGTTGGCCAGGATGGTTTCAATCTCTTGACCTCATAATCTGCCTGCCTCAGCCTCCCAAAGTGCTGAAATTACAGATGTGAGCCACCAAGCCCAGCCTTTTTTTTTAGAAAGAGACCAGGCTGGAATGCAGTAGCCCATCTCAGCTCACTGCAACCTCTGCCTCCTGGGTTCAAGCAATTTACGTGCCTCAGCTTCTCGAGTAGCTGGGATTACAGGCATGTACCACTATGTCCAGCTAATTTTTTGTGTTTTTAGTAGAGATGGGATTTCACTATGCTGGCCAGGCTGGCCTGAAACTCCTGGCCTTAAGTGATCCACCTTCCTCAGCCTCCCAAAGGGCTGGGATTACAGGTGGTGAGCCTCCATGCCCTACCTATAAAAGAGCTTTAAAAAATTCAGGCCGGGCCCAGTGGCTCACGCCTGTAATCCCAGCACTTTGGGAGGCCGAGGCGGGTGGATCACGAGGTCAAGAGATCGAGACCATCCTGGTCAACAAGGTGAAACCCCGTCTCTACTAAAAATACAAAAATTAGCTGGGCATGGTGGTGTGTGCCTGTAGTCCCAGCTACTCAGGAGGCTGAGACAGGAGAATTGCTTGAACCCAGGAGGCGGAGATTGCGGTGAGCCGAGATCACGCCATTGCACTCCAGTCTGGGTAACAACAGCAAAACTCGGTCTCAAAAAAAAAAAAAAAAAAAAATTTGCCAATGAATTTACTTATATACCATAATTTCAAGATCCAATTAATTTTCACACCATTTTAATGTTGCCAAGAATTGACATACATTTGCTTTGCCAAACACTTATAGTTTGTCAGATTATCATGTTGAATTTTCATAGGCTATTAATAATTTTTAATATGATATGTAGCACTACTTCTGTAAAACATAAATATATCCAAAATAATCTATAAGGAAAAAGAGACCAAGGAGTGGTTAGGGTCTTTACTTGATATGGAAAATTATTTTACTGTTCTCAATGTTTTCTTTTGTTTTGTTTTGAGACAGAATCTTGCACTGTTGCCAGGCTGCAACGCAGTGGTACAGTTTCAGCCCACTGCAACTTCCGCCTCCAGGGTTCAAGTGATTCTCCTGCCTCAGCCTCCCAAGTAGATAGGTCTACAGGTGCATGCCACCATGCCTAGCTAATTTTTTATTTTTAGTAGAGACAGGGTTTCACCATGTTGGCCAGGATGGTCTCACATCTTGACCTGGTGACCTGCCCGCCTCGACCTCCCAAAGTGCTAGGACTACAGTCGTCAGCCACCGTGCCTAGCTACTGTTCTCAAATTTTATTATGGGTTTTTGTTACAAAATATGGTAATATTTTAATTTACTCAAGTGGGAACTACTGATAAGCAGTTCTTATTTTTCCAGCATAAGCAAGGCTACAATAAATATCTTTGACTATATGCACTTTTGTTTTTGTTGAAGCTATATCCCGATTAAGTGATAAATAGGGTCAAGCAGAAGACATGGTTTTACAATTTTTATTAATATTGTATCGGGCCAGGCATGGTGGTTCAGGCCTGGCATTCCAGAACTTTTCGAGGCTGCGGTGGGAGGATAGCTTAGCTCAGAAGTTCAAGACCAGCTTGGGCAACCAGCAAGACCTCATCTCTAATAAAAAAATAAAACAGCCGGACACGATGGCAAGTGCCTGTAGTCCCAGCTTCTTGGGAGGCTGAGGCTGCAGGATCACTTGAGTCCAGGAGTTCTGGGCTGTAGGACACTATGCTGATTGGGTGACCAAACTAGGTTCAGCATCAATATGGTGACCTCCCAGGAGCAGGGGACCACTAGGTTACCTAAGGAGGGGTGAACTGGCCCAGGTTGGAAACTGAGCAAGTCAAAACTCTGGTACTGATCAGTTGTGGGATCTCGACTGTGAATAGCCACTGCACTCCAGCCTGGGCAATATAGCAAGACTCTGCCTCTTAAAAAATAATAATAAAAAATAAAAATAAATGAACAAAAATAAAACTAACACAAAATAAGCTGAGTGTGGTGGCACATGCCAGTAGTCCCAGCTAGTTGGAAGGCTGAGGTAGGTAGACTGCTTGATCATGGGAGGTTGAGGCTACAGTGAACTGTAATGGCACCACTGCACTCCACCCTGGGCAACACAGCAAGACCCTGCCTCAAACAATTGTATTTGATTGATATTGTATCAGATTGCTTCTGAAAAAGGTTGTAACAATTTAGACTTTCACAAAGTGCAAGAAACTGGCCTTTTCTTTGTAACTGGCATGGAATGTTACCACTCTTTTAAACTTGTCAAGATGATGGTGAGAAATAGCATCTAATTTATTTATTTATTTTAGAGATGGGGTTTCACCATGTTGACCAGGCTGGTCTTGAACTCCTGACCCCAGGTGGTCCACCAGCCTCGGCCTCCCAAAGTGCTGGGATTACAGGCATGAGCACCACACCCAGCCTCTAATTACTTTAATTTGCTTTTCCCTAATGCCTAATGAAGTTCAGCATCTCTTCAAATCTTTATTGGGCATTTGCATTTTCTCTTCAGTGAATTGCTTCATCATATACTCTATTTCTTTTTAAATTGTGTTCCAATTTATTTCTCTGAAATCTATTTTGGTGGTATCCTTGCATGTTAGAAACCTTAGCCCTTTATAATATGTGTTGTAGATACTATTCCCTAGCCTATGACTTGTCTTTTATCCTTGAGCATGAGTTTTAGTGTCAGAAGAACCAATGGTAGGATTTGAATTAGGTTGCATTATTTTCTAGTTGTCCTATTTTTTATTCTTTCAGCCTCTTAGAATCTTAGTTTCCTTTACAACTGAGATATAGTATCCATTTTATTTTTTAAAATGTTTTGGCTGGGTGTGGTGGCTCACACCTGTAATCCAGCACTTTGTGGGGCCAAGGAGGGCAGATCACCTGAGGTCAGAAGTTTTATACCAGTATGGCCAACATGGTGAAACACTGTCTCTACTAAAAATACAAAAAGTAGCCAGGCATGGTGCCACACGCACTCCAGCCTGGATGACAAAATGAGACTCCGTCTCAAAAAAGATTATTAAAAAAATTAATTCATGTATTTATTTATTGAGACAGGGTTTTGCTCTGTTCCCCAGGCTGGAGTTTAGTGGGGTGATCATAGCTTGCTTTATCCTGGAACTCCCGGGCCCAAATGATCCTCCTGCCTCTTTTTCCCAAGTAGCTGGAACTACAGACAGGCACCACCCTGCCTGGCTTTTTGTTGTTGTTTGTTTATTTGTTTTTATAGAGATGGGGTCTTGCCATGTGGCCCAAGCTGGTCTCTAACTCCTAGTTTCAACCAACCCTCCAGCTTTGGCCTACCAAAGTTCTGGGATTACAGATGTGAGCCAAGTATCTACTTTAAAAGGGTTGCTATGGCCGGGTGTGGTGGCTCACACCTGTAATCTCAGCACTTTGGGAGGCTGAGCCCAGAGGATCACCTGAGGTCAGAAGTTCCAGACCAGCCTGGCCAACATGGTAAAACGCTGCTCTACTAAAAATACAAAAATGAGCCAGGCTCATTTTCAGTGGGGCACACGCCTGTAGTCCCAGCTACTCTGGAGGCTGAGTGGGGAGAATTGCCTGAAGCCAGGAGGCAGAGGTTACAGTGAGCCGAGATTTTGCCACTGCACTCCAGCCTGGGCGACAGAGTGAGACTCCACACTCCAACCTGGGCAACAGAGTGAGCCACAGTTTCAATAAACAAACAAAATAAAAACAAATAAATAAGTAAATGAAATGAAAATAAAACCCAAAATACAATCTTAAAAAAAGGAAGAAGTTTAGTAAATAGGAAATCTAAGACATTAACAAGTGAGTCTTCCTTATTTTCTACCTTAGTTGATTTAATGAAATCCAGTGATTTCTTATTCTCCCATTTACACAAATCAAAAATTCACAGATCATTTGAAGAGTTAGAAGGGAACTGAGAAGGACTGTATTCCAAGCAACTATACAGTACAGAATCTTGGGAACAGCTTGCCTCAGAGATGACCATTTTGGCTTTTGCTTGAATTATAAATCTTATACCTGCCTCACCTTTTAAACATCCTTAATTGTTCCCTAAATTTGCTTCCCTTAATGTCTTTCTGGACCTGCCATCTCTTGCTCCAAAGAACAAAAACAAAAAGACCCTTTCTTGATGAGAATCTGCTCCTCATCTCCTATCCCTCTAAATCTTTCATTTGCCACATTCACCATCAGCTTGTTTAAGGAGGAGGCACTGTAGTCTGAGTGAGGAGGGATGAAAAGGTGAAGAGATGGGGCTCTATTTCTGCCTCTTGCACTGATCATACTTGTGACTTTGGGTGAGCCACTTTTCCCCTGGAGCCTCAGTTTATTTCTTGTCATGTGAGGAAGACGGACTTAAATGATTTTTTTTTTTTTTTAAAGACAGAATTCTTTGTTGCACAGGCTGGAGTGCAGTGGCACGGTCACAGCTCACTGCAGCCTTGATCTCCTGGGTTCAAGCGATCCTCCCACCTTAGCTTCCCAAAGTGTTAGGATTATGGGCATGAGCAACTGACCCCAGTCTAGATGACCTTTAAGATTACTTCCAACCCTGTATTCTGTAGTTCTTAATTTTTCAGCTGAGGCTTGTATTATTTGTCATCTTCTGTCTGCCCCCTTGTGGACATTGTTTAGGGAAGAAAATAAAATACTTAATTGCTTGAAGAGCAATATAATGACCACCTATCCCACCCTTCAAAAATTCACTTGCATCATGCTGTTTGTTTTCAATTATTCATGTTCACTTCTAGTCCTCATTCATAAATGTACATCCTTTAACATGGTTGAATCATTTCAGGGACATAATTTTGTACTTTTCCCCTCCTTCCTGATAATGATAATGTCTTTATTGTAAAATGTAAACATGCTTGTGATTCAATAAACTTTTAAAATATTACTATAAAGACTTTGTTATATATATTTAATTGAGATATAATTCATATAGCTTAAACTTCACCCTTTAAAAGTGTACGATTCGCCAGTTGCGGGTACTCACGCCTATAATCCCAGCACTTTGGGAGGCCGAGGCGGGTGGATCACAAGGTCAAGAGATCGAGACCATTCTGATCAACATGGTGAAACCCCGTCTCTATTAAAAATAAAAAAATTAGCTGGGCATGGTGGCACGCGCCTGTAGTCCCACCTACTTGGGAGGCTGAGGCAGGAGAATTGCTTGAACCCAGCAGGCGGAGGTTGCAGTGAGCCGAGATCGTGCCATTGCACTCCAGCCTGGGTAACAAGAGCGAAACTCCATTTCAAAAAAAAAAGTGCAATTCAGTAGTTTCTGATATTTTAACAAGGTTGTATAATCATCACCACTATTTAATTCCAGAATGTTTTACCATGCCGAAAAGAAACCTCAGACTCCTTAGCAATCACTCTGTTTCCTCCTCCTCCTAGCCTCTGCAATCACTGATCTACTTTCTGATTCTCTAGATTTGCCTATCATGGACATTTTATTTAAACAGCATCACACAATATGTTGCCCTTTGTGTGTCTGGCTTCTTTCATTGAACACAGTGTTTCCAAGACTCAAATATGGGCTGGGCACGATGGCTCATGCCTGTAATCCCAGCACTTTGGGAGGCCGAGGCAGGTGGATCACCTGAGGTCAGGAGTTCGAGACCAATCTGACCAACATGGTGAAACCCTGTCTCTACTAAAAATACAAAAATTAGCCGGGTGCGGTGGCATGCATCTGTAGTCCCAGCTACTTGGGAGCTGAGGCAGAAGAATTGCTTGAACCTGGGAGGTGGAGGAGGTTGCAGTGAGCTTGGATCATGCCACTGCACTCCAGCTGAGTGACAGAAAAAAGAAAAAAAAAGATTCAAATATGTTGAAGCATGCATTATCTTATATTTATTTTTTATCACACATCATTATATCTTAATGCTGTATAATATTCCCTTTTGGAGAAACATTTATATCATGTTGTTGTAAAGAATGTGGCATCAATATCTTCATCCTCTAATTCATCTCTTCTCTTGAATTATTTTTTTAGAATACATTCCCATGGGTGGGATTACTGGGTCAAAGGGTATGAACATTTTTTACAGCTCTTGTCAATATTGCTCTTAAATTGTGGTGCCCAGAACTAAATGCAATTCTGAGATGTGTTCAGACAGAACAGGGTACTGTGGGGCTATTATGTTCTCAAGGTCTGAACCATATATAATCCTTTAAATCCAGCAGCCTAAAAATTTATCAGCTCTTTTTGGTTGCTATGTAAGTGTGACTCATTGAACTTATAGTCAACTGAGGCCCTTAGATCTTTTCCTAGGCACTGTGTCTTAGAGCTATGTTTGCATCTACTCTAGGACCCAGGAGGCTTTTGAGGACTCACTGACTTTAATCTACTACTGTATCTCTTAGTTTTATTTTCTTTCTTTCTTTTTTTTTTTGATGGATTCTTGCTCTGTTGCCCAGGATGGAGTGAAGTGGTATGATGTCGGCTCACTGCAACCTCTGCCTCCCGGTTTCTAGGGATTCTCCTGCTTCAGCCTCCTGAGTAGCCGGGACTACAGGCATGTGCCACCACACCCAGCTAAGATTTTGTATTTTTAGTAGAGACGGGGTTTCACTGTGTTAGCGAGGATGG